TTGTAGAGGGTATATTTAGTTCAAGTATCTCCAAACTGCCCATACTTCATTGGAATTTCATGTATAATTTACAAATATTGTCAAAAGTATGAAAAAACATGGTTCACGTTCTTCAAAACATACACTGATCAGGGGACGCCGTCATATGGTCACCAAGAGAAACTGAATGTCATCTGGTGGTGATGTTTGGCACTGCACTCAACAAAATGTCACTGAAAACACATTTGTTTTAAGGCACATGTGTCAAACTCGGTTTCAAAAGGGCCGCAGCTCTGCACAGTTTAGTTCCAACCCTAATTAAACACACCTGATCAAACTAATTGAGTCCTTCAGGCTTGTTTGAAACCTACAGGTAAGTGTGCTGGAGCAGGGTTGGAACTAAACTGTGCAGGGCTTCGGCCCTCCAGGAATTGAGTTTGACACCCCTGTTTTAAGGCATCACCTTTAAATTTGGTGTGTAATTCGATCAGATATTTAGGTTTAATTTTTTTGTTGTTTTTTTTGTCAGTTTTTGGCAAAAACTTTTTTATTTTGTTAAATATATACATAATGTAATATAAAAAAAAACATTGTAAGAATTAGTTTGCCATATTTTACTGATTTACGTTGAGAGATAGATAGATAAAATCTAAAAACATTTAAATATAAATTTTATGCAATAAAAAATACAATAGTATTAATGAATTTACCATATGTTGACTGATTTAGATAGATAGATAGCTAAATAGATAGATGGATGGATGGATGGATGGAGGAGATAGATAGATAGATAGATAGATAGATAGATAGATAGATAGATAGATAGATAGATAGATAGATAGATAGATAGATAGATAGATAGATAGATAGATAGATAGATAGATAGATAGATAGATAGATAGATAGATAGATAGATGGATGGATAAAGGAGATAGATAGATAGATAGATAGATAGATAGATAGATAGATAGATAGATAGATAGATAGATAGATAGATAGATAGATAGATAGATAGATAGATAGATAGATAGATAGATAGATAGATAGATAGATAGGCTTAACAGATAGACAGGGTTTAATCTAAGCAGCAAAGCTTGGCAGTCATTTAAGTTGAACATGCCATTTTCATGTCTATGTTCAAAAAGTGGGGGTGACGGTTAAAGAAGAAAAAAAAGTTGATCAGACTTCTCTGAGCTCCAGTGCAGAACAAGCGATGTCACGGAGATGTATTATTATGACCTTCATTCAATGAGATAAATGTAAGCTGGTCAGGCTCCAGTGCTTTGGTTCTGGCTCTACTTCACAGCTTTATTAAATCAGCAGGACTGCTCGCTTATTAGACATCCTGCCTGTAGTGTTCCAAGGTGATTTTAGTGCTTAGTACACCTCAGCTCTGATAGTTTTTTTGCTGACGCTTTTTAATTTTATATTAAGCTCTGGTTGCTGGCCACATATCAAACAGATTTCCATCAGTGAGAAGTGTTTGTTGTTGTTCTGTAGCATTTGTTTTAAATATGACACATACTTCAGAAAATGCTCTTCAGAACCGTCTGGCCAAGCCGGGTTGGGCTTTGTTTCAAGACTGCTGATGTTTTTCTGAAATGACTGAAGCAATGAGGAGGTGTTTGATCATTGAAATACACTGTCTGTCTGTAGTTTGTACTGCAAAATAATGGATTAGACCTTTCAGATAGCCACCATATGCGTATCTGTGCTATTGTTTAGCATTCTGTGCAAGATTTATAGTAGAGTTTTGTTTTTCAGAGGTAAAGTCCTAGTGTATTATGCTGCATTTGAATCAGGAAACATCAAACATGTGATGTATTTGTAGCTTTTTCACAGTTTTAGTAATGAAAAATATTAAAATGTGAAGCAAATCTTTAAAAATATAAAGAGCTGAAAGACAAAATAGAGGTTTTCAAGCATCAATTTTGTTTTTGTCTGTAAAAATGTTTTTCCTAAGTGCAAAAACTATTACATTTTATTGTATCTTTGAGTGTAAAAACAGTTTATAAATCAAAAAAATCTTGTCAGACATATTCATTCGTTAATTTTCTTTTTGGCTTAGTCTCTTTATTAATCTGGGTTCGCCACAGCGGAATGAACTGCCAACTTATATAGCATATGTTTTACACAGCGAATGCCCTTCCAGCCGCAACCCATCACAGGGAAAGACCCGTTCACACTCAATCACACACATACACTACGGCCAATTGAGCTGACCCAATTAATCTATACCTCATGTCTTTGGACTGTGGGGTAAACCTGAGCACCCAGAGTAAACCCATGGCAACACGGGGAGAACATGCAAACTCCGCACAGAAATGCCAACTGACCCAGCCGAGGCTCGAAGCAGCAACCTTCTTGCTGTGAGGCGATTGTGCTACCCAGTGCGCCACCTTGTCGCCCCTTGTCAGAAATATTTAGAGCAAAAATGATTTGACAACACATCATAAGACTTTATTGAAGGATCAAAAAATATATTTAAAATATTTATGTTTTTTAATATCATTTAAACCATTAGGTTTTAGCCTGATTTCATCAAGATTAATAATTTAATCAAATGTTTAAAAAGGAAAAACAATTATTTTATATAGATGTATAGATATGTATGTATGTGTATATGTGTATCATTTAAAGTCAGAATTATTAGCCACCCTTTGAAGTTTTTTCTTCTTAAAAATTTCCCAAATTATATTTAACAGAGCAAGAAATTTTTCACAGTATGTCTGATAGTATTTTTTCTTCTGGAGAAAGTCTATTGCCTAAAGCCTATTTGTTTTATTTCAGCTAGAATAAAAGCTGTGTTTAATGTTTTTAACCATTTTAAGGTCAAAATTATTAACCCCTTTAAGCTAGATATTTTTTCGACAGTCTAACAAACCATCGTTATACAATAACTTGCCTAGTTAAACTAATTAACCTAGTTAAGCCTTTAAATGTCACTTTAAGCTGTAAAAAAGTCTATATATATATATATATATATATATATATATATAT